TAATTTATAGTGTCGTTCTGAAAACAGCTAATAAATAGCCTATCCATATGTAATATTAGAGATGTTACGTGATAAATTTAGTGGAAAATCAAACATTTATCGAATTTAGTATAAATCATACTTATAGATTGTTCAAAATGTTGTACATAAATATGTATATAGTCATGTATGTTTGTGTTTACATACCGAAGCATCTAAATTATCATTAACTGGTTTAAAAATTTTCAGTAAATACTTCGATAATGGTCACGCTATGGGTTTGAGCAAGAAACCTACCATCTTCCTACTGCTTATCTAAACAAATTATTAGAGACAGTCTACAGGAAACACTACAGATATAGAAAACAAATGCCCAAGAGCGTAATTAATTAATCTCGATTCACTAATTTCCAACGATGAATAAACTGCACCGGAAATACTCTAGTTTAAACTATACCAGTGGTCTTCTTCCTACACAAAATTGAAGGTGACTGATTTCTTGTCTTAATAGTTCATGAAACGAAATTCAAAACAAAACTGTTTCCACTAAAGAGTATTCCAAAGAATAAAGTGTACTTCATTCAAAGATTAGATGGTTATCAAAAAAATTTTTTTCATTATTTCTACTGTAATCAGTAATATGAAAAAATAACTAATCCACTACTAAACATACCCATGTTAACGTTCTGACCGCCAGGGCCACTGCTTCGCATAAATCGTTTCTCAATTTTATCTGTAAAGTCTTCAAATTTATAGTGGGAAAAAATACTTTAGTTATGGAAATAATTGATCGAATTCCAGGTAATCTTTTGACATTCAATTGAAGACGAAAATAACTTTATGACTAAATTAATTCGAAAAAAGATTGGTTTCAGGAATTTTCTTTTAAGCTTTTTTTTAAAAGTCATTTCTAACTCATTTGACCAAGTAAAATAAAAATCAGTCGATGTTTAAAGAGCACTTCAAAATGTTACTTTTTAAACAAAAAGTTTCAGGCTCACCAGATCCATGACAGTTATCTGTGGATAACTGTCATAGTAATTCATAAGCATAACAGTGATATCTGACTGAACAAATATAATTACTAGAAATCGTCTCCCTCTATTTTTTTCAGTTACTTCACTTTTTTTAAAAAGCCATTTCTTTCTCTTCCCATTTATTTCAATCCCACTAAAAAAATAAATGACACATCAAATAAGTGTACTTTTAGTACAACTGATATAAGGAAATTTTTTTAGATAATTTAACCTAAATTAATGGCAGTGAAACACAACGAAGTGATTAAAGCACATGTTTTATATATGATTTTAACGTTTAAATGTGAGTAAAATCAAGAATCAGTAAAGATAATTAGTGCAGGAAAAGAAAACTTACCAATTGGAATATATCCAACAAATTCATTGCCATCAGCGCCCTTCTAAAAACATTGCTCTAGAATGAAACAGTGAAAAAATCGTTGTATGGAAATTATATTTTATGTATGTTATAGTTCATGAAGAAAAAAAAGTAAAAAAGGAAACGGTTAGAAATGAATTCAACTACATACTGGAACATACAGAAGGAACGTAGCGCTGCTGTTTTTGTTGAGATACCAATAATTTGTTGAGACATTGTCTAAGACGATAATCACGAATCATCGTACATTTTAGTATTAAATACAGAAAGTCAATTTATATGCTGAAAATCGAAAAAAAGTTACAAAATGATCATCAAAAAATAAAATATAAACGAACCGTATATTATATTAAACTTTAATCTTACTAGAATTATTGCATATTAAAATCTTAGTGCATTGTAGATTATCCTCCCACTTTTAATCATATTTCCTCATAGTTCGGAATATCTCACTTCAAATCATTTTTCCACTTCCTGTACACCTCTCTTTGATGTATTTAAGTCCCTATTCCTAAGTTAAATTTACTGAAAGTGTTTTACCACATGAAGCGTGACAGTTTATAAATTGGAACTGAAAAAGAAATTCGATCAAAGAGCTAAATTAAACCGCATGAACATTCCTATAAATGGTTGAGGTTATAGGAAAGCTGAATTGGCATCTGAGAAACAGATCTGACTATTCCGTTAGATATATCAATCAAACACAAAAAAAGGAAAAAAACAATGCGTCGAACTACTATTACATCCCCAATAGTTAGCCAGAAATGTAGGAAATAATTTTCATTGCTTAACAGTATCAAAACATTAATCTATCTGTGCATCAGTTAATGAGCCGAATATTAGATTCAGCAATACATCGCCTTTTCATTTTGCAAATTTATGACTTTTTATGAGACCGATGAATTTCCTGCTGTTGACAACAATTTCTTTAGGATCCGAAAAATAGCAGTTCCAAAATGCACCTAATATCGACTTCATTGAAAATTTTAGCTTTCATTTAAATAAAATTTTAAGGGAAAAACAACTCCAATCCTTTTATGTATATGTGAATATATCGTTAAGGTAAAAAATCATCATCTCTGACTAGTCATTTCACCTTTTCCATTTGATGCAGAAACAGAAAAAACTGGGAAATAAGGTAACTCGCCAAAGTGATAAAGAGAACGATTTTACCATCATATTATATATCAAATAATAAACACAAAAACCCGCATCAAAAATTAGAGCCAAGAAAGGTAATTCATACATAAGACAAAATATTGGATTGACTTGATATGCAGAAATTAAAATCCTCAATACACTACATCAAGTGCAATTTTAGAAGGGATGTAGGACTCGTAAAAAATACACGTTTCTCAATACTTATGGAGTAAATTACACTTCTTATAAAGGTTAACCAATCAGTCAACAAATACTAAACATTAAGGTTATTGGAATATTTTTCAAGAAAAAAACCACTTTTCCTTAACTTCCACTTCTGATCCCGAACAGTTTACTCTTTGCACAGAAATCACGCCGGTCCCATAAAACCAACATTCTTCAAAATAAGAATTCAAAAAACCCTTAATCCGAAATTCCTTTGTTAACCAAAAACCGAGATTCATCATACATTCGAAAATAAGAAAAGAAGGGACCCAAAAAAAGCTACTTTTTTGATTATATGCAAGTTCTTCAAACAACAGAAAATTAAACGAAATTCTCTCAACCCGAAACCAAGCCACAAAGTTCATGTTTTGAACATATATTACCACCCTCAATAGTACAGGCCACTCACTAATATTCCATAAAACTAACTTTAAAAATGAACCGATTTCTACGTGTTACCAGGCACACTTCCATAGGAATGTGCACCACTGTAACTGAACTTGTGTTTAGATAGAAAGTCCCTGTGCGAAGGAAGAAAATTGGAATTTTCGAGACTCAATACAAAATCCGTGTATCGTCCCCTTCGATCAAGTCCAATATACATTTTGACTTACTGTTTCTAGTTTGGTAATATGCAAAAAACGCGTACCCATGTTTCTTGGAAAAGTACAAAAGTGCATCACATCAAAAAATTGAATTAAAAGAAAAAAAGGAAAAAAAAAAAACAGGCAAAAATACAATTCCACAATTTCTATTCAAATAAACATATACCAAGCTACACATAGCATTAAAATTAAAATGTAGCCTGAAAAAAAAAAAAATAAAAATGTTGGAGAGAACTGAATTAAGAGCACATGGAATAACTATCTGAAAAATGAAATCTGCTTAGGAATTAAGTCCCCTTGTTGTAAATTAAACCGCAATGAGAAAAAGACATCTGACTTCAAGTGCTCAATTACTGAATCCCTGAGAAAATGAGGATCAGCAGTTTATACTGCAACGAGAAGCTTAGCCATCATGAAAGAAAGAATAATAGCAGAATAATCAATGAATGTAAATTCAGAAAAAAAAAAGGGAGAAAAAGAAAAAAAAAATGTGAAGAAAGAGCAAAAAAAAGAATAGACGAAACTAGAAGAAATGCAGAGGATTTTATGCAAGTCCGACTATAATCATCGATGATGAATAGACATGAGAAGTTGTAATCTTTCTCATTCAGTAACGATCTAAAGCCATCAGATAACGATAGCTTTCTTCTTCATCACGTAGCACAGGTTCTGCCAAGAAGCCACGTCCAAAGATATTCAACACGCTACTAGCCTGAAACATATGAATGTGTAGAGTAGTGCTTAATAATGTCAGATTTTTGAAATGACTACCGAATTCACTTGAAAAAATATCAACTAGTTGTTCGAAAACCTTTTGTATTCTGTTGTATTGTCGTTCCCTAATTTTTCCAGCAATTTTAAATTTTAACAGATCAAAGTTAATGCCAATCACATATGCTATTTTATTTTCAAGTATGCAAAAAAGCAACGTACGTTGAAGAATTTTAAGAAGCTACCGGTATGTGGAACCTCGGATATCTCATGCCTGTCAGCATCGACTAGAGGCGATGGTGCACTTGGAATAACATTTCCGATACCTAAATTACTTGTTCCAGGAAGCATAGCACAAGGTGCTGATTCAGTTTTTCTATTTGACATTTTACCTGGAAAGTACTTTCGGTGAACACCTAAAGATTTCATGTCAGCAAAACACTAGCATTTATCACGTAACGTGCAAACGCAAATGAACTACGAATAAGGAACAAGCAGGAGTAAAATCTGCTTATTTTAAATACCATATGATTGTACGTATGATGTAGCGAGATGTCTCGATAAGTCGCACAAATAATATTCCTAAATTTTTGACTAGGAGAATTGTGTCAACTAAGAGACTACGGTGTCAGTAAATCATCCTTTATCAACCCAACGTATAAATAAGTTAACCCTTTTTAACATAAATAATTCGGCAGAAGAAGTAAGAGAAGGTCACGAGAAACATTTAATCATACGATAGAAATTGATGTCAGTGAAAATCTGGTGGTGATGTTTTGCTCTTCCCTACTTTTCTCAATCATCGTGGATTAAAGGCATGACATGTGTCCACGTAACAAGTAACCAAGCAGTAAACCAATTCCCATGTATTAAGTAACATGAGTAGAAAAATCGATCGAAACTCCACACTCACGCCTTAACGTCATTTACATAAGTTTTAGTTATATGAACGACAGTACGCCAAATATGTATCAAAAATTTGATTGCACACGTGCACTAAGTCGATGTGAAGCGTATAAAAGAGAAAAGCAGCAAGGAACGAGTTTTAATCTCTCGTCTAGCGTTGACCTGTTTCAATGTCGTCGATCGATAAGAGTAGGCGTTAAGAGCGCAACTGCCCACTGCTATCAGAGAATGTCGACGGCACAGCAATCGCTACGGGTTTTATAAATTTCGTTGATTGGTGAAGTCCCTCCCCTCCAGTACTTGCCTCTCCTCTTTTTCTCTCAATCTATCTACAACAAGGAAACACTTCACAACTATCACATATCACAACTACAGTCTGGTGCTAGCTATGATGAAAGCAAGTTGTAGCAAGTTACCTCCTTAAGCACAGAAGTAACACTATGAGATTCTGAGATACTTCACGTGATATCCGAGATCGACCATGACCCAACCAACATATAAGTGTAACAATCGTATCCGAAGAAATGAGTGTGTGTGTGTGTGTGTGTGTGTGTATGATAACGTACGTTACTGACAACAACCACATATCATCATCATATATCGTTCATTAACTCTTCAATGTCATTCTTTGAAAACAACAAAATTCTTTCGAACTATAAACATTTCAACTGAATGACATAATATAATGATGAAAAGAGCATAAAAGAGGCAATAAGGACAAAATCATTAGTTTAGAAAGAAAAAAGATACAGCAACGAACGTATGCACATACGCTAATAAGCAAGTTAAGCCACTAAACTACATTAGCAACAAAAAATTCTTCAAATCTCTTCCTTTTCTCCCTTTCTTTTTCTCTCTCCCTCTCATATTTCCCCTTTAATTGAATGTCTGTGGAAAAAGTCCTAAAAATTCAATATTTGCATTCAAAATGAAGAGTTAGTTCATTGTATCCTGCTGATGAAAACAACAATTAAAGCTTCACACTAAACAAGACTCTCTCTCTCTCTCTCAAGAAGAAAACTCTTCATAACAAAAAAAAAGTGAGAAAAGGGAAAAAACCAACCCTTTGAAAATAAACACAAAATGTTTGCATAATTCAATGAAATAACGTACAGTTACTTCATTCGATCCGTTATGATGACAAACCGTTTTGATAACAAAAGCAACAGGTGAAATCTGAAAATGATTGCCTTATTTTTGTAAACTCAATTTCATTCATATCACAAAACCTCTTGCGAATAATGCAGAAATCTTTTTTGTTTTTTGCTAATTTAAATTTCATTTTTTTTTCTAAACATAAATTACTTCCAAAAATCTATTTATTAATTTTCAGTTTTTTTTTCCCACCAATAATGCCCACATTATTTTATTACTACTTTTACTAATTTAAATTTCATTCTTTTTCAAATTTGATTCATTAATTTCTAATAAGTTTCACTTCTTTACATATATCTATTATCTGCGTTCGTAGATGATAAAGGGTGTTAAACAGGACATTTTTTCATCAATGAGAAAAAACATTTCAATACTTGAATGTGGATGTATGTCACAGAGGAAAAGATAATGGCACTTAACTGTCACATTTCAAAAATAGCGTAAACTCATCTTGCCCTTCTCTTCTTATCTCGTATTGAAGTTTTTAAGTTAGTTAACAAAGTTTAAAAAACTGAGTAGAAATAACAAAATGGCGACATTGATAGTAACAATATGCCACAACAGTTAAAACTATTCGAAACCTGACTTTTAATGTTCGGTAATTCAAAATTATTTTGTTAATTCTAAAATGTGTTGCATTTTACCATATTTTTATCCATTTACTGTATAAGATTCTTTGAAATCCTTGAAAATATGGATTCGAAGATGCTATAAATTTGTTAAATAAAAAGTAAATTAATTAACTGACAACTAGCACAAGAACTACGCAAACAAGCACTAGGCGATAATCTTCAGTAGTCCTCCATAAATTCATCCCAGTAGTGAATTTGACTCGTAAATAGTTTGTGATCTCTAATGAAGAATTTTAAACAATCTGACCACATACTGTTAAATGACAATGTTTCAGAGATATTCCCTTCCCAAATTCCGTGATAAAACAGAATGCAGCATATCGATCACTACGATTACGTATCACAGTCAAACGATTGTAGTCAATGATAGAAAAAATGAGATCTGTGACAAAATGCGACTCCAAAAGCTGAAATATTCCTATAGCTAAATGATATTCGAAATGAAAAACGAAAATATTTCACATTGCTTTTGTTAAAATTCTAAATAAAACATCAAGTTCCTTCCTCCATACATCTAGTGCATTATTTAGACTATATGTCTCTGGATTACAGCTATATGACTCTCATAGACGTTTCGTCGTATCGACCTCTGAAAGCACCGCTTATATCCACACATAGTATAAATCAAATTCACTGCAGAAAATCGTAATAAACTAAACTTACCACATCACTAATTTCTTAATTGTATAATTCTTTTTGTTATTAATACTTCTTCATTCGAAACCTTATTTGAAAAAAGAACAGTAAAGTGACTCTCGTTGAAATATTCTTAGTGATCTAAAAGTTTCGATAACAAATGTATTACTGCATACTATAAAAAACATAATTTTAATATAAACTTAACACGATATATTGCTGGAAGCGTAGATTCCAACATTCGATTATAAGCAGAATATAGTAAAAGCAAGCAAAATATAAGCAGAAAACATACAGCAAGAATTTGAATTTGAGAGATTGATGAGATATTTCTGAAAATTTCACAAGAAATTATGCAAATGGACTAAATCTCCACTTTAATAACAAAAAAATGTACAGAGAGCTTCTGTTGGATATTCTTCAATCTCCTTTGTTTCCCCTCTTTGAGAAATACGATAGTAGCATTATCTTCCCAAATTTCACTGTACTTCTTTGAATTGTCAGAAGCACTATAATTTTACAACTCAGAGAAAGACTATATGGAAAACGACAACTATTTCAACTATTCATATATCAATATACGCATTCAAGCATAATAAAGTCATCGCTCATACACTTTCTAGTGAAATTCATTTAAAACGACAGAAACGAAAGACTGAGGGCAGAAAAATGAAGAAAGGTAGTAGCACTATTAACGCGAATGCATTTTTAAATTTGTTTCACAAATACAGACCAAGTGAGAGGTATAAAAGATACATTATGTTGAAAAAGAAAAACAATATATTGTAGAAACACATAAACAATGCTGTTCCTATATTTCACTTGTTCGTCCAATTTAAAGCAATGTATGTTCAGTTAAACGGAAAGACTTCAGTTCGAGCAATTTTTTACCAGCAAACCAACACAGATAATTTTTCAACCATGCAGAAATATTTGTTCTCAACAATGTTTTCGACTTTAGAAATTTGAGTGGAATATATATATCTTTAATTAGTCTTAATTAAACCTACAAGACGAAACAACAGAATGGAGGAAAAGAATACATAATTTCATGAATGCAACCATAAAAAATAGTGAAAATTGAGAGCTTCAACAAACAGTGGACGAAACAAAAAAGAAATGAAGGAGTTTCAAAAAATGCCTGCTCTAAAAAAAAAACTTTAACTAAGAAATTTTGATAAAAAGAGAATCTATATGCAAGTTGTATCACACCATCAGATATTGGATTTCACTGAACCATTGGGTGGTAGTGATGACTCAGTAAAAATTTCAAAATGTTTTCATTAAAATCGAATGTTAGCAAAATCTTCTACAAAAAAAAAAAAAACAAGACCACTCTATCATCATTACTTATTTTTCAGACCCAATCAATTTTTAGAATTTCAAAAAAGCAAAGAAAGGAAAAGGAGAAAAGTCTGATCAATTTATAAAAAGACATGTCGTTGTAACCTTTCGCCCGAAAATTTTCTTCGCCTTTTGCAATAAACAGAGTATTTTAATTTTCATAGACCATAAAAAATTAATAGAAGAAAATTACTTCATGCTGTGAATCTTTACAAAGTGAGGATAATTCATCTCGTTCAATCGATAGCATTAGCTAAAAATTGGAAGCACAGAAATATATTCAGGTTTTCGTAACAAATAACAGAATATCACTAAAGAAAATGATTAAAAATCGAAAACTCCTTGCCAATGGTCTCTTGTTATCCATTAAATATGGATAATATTCCATAATCAGGGAAAAATCGATATATTCTACAATAGTCGAATTCTAGAATGACCCCCCCTCCCACGCCCAAAAAAAAAGAATTAACTCTGGAATGTTTCAGTAAAACTGAAATACTTTTGGCTTTCTCCTTAAAAACAGATGGATGTGGCGAACATGAAATGCGTGACAACCAACAAGTTTTTACCTAAATTAATTTAGCAAGCTGAGATAGAGCAAAAAATCTGGGAAGTATATTGCATGAGTCAAGGTGGAACCATATAGTACTTTCAACAAATACTGAGATTTTCAAAAACTCAACAGGTTTAAAGTGTTGTGAGTTCAGAAAGCTACATCGAAACAAGAAAGAACCACACTCATTACCTACTTACGACAAATACTTGTTCTAGTAATATAAACGACATAAACAGTATAGTCATATATGTAAGAGAAAGTTTAGATAAATTTAGTTGATACTTGAAATGTCTTCCGATCGAAACGCGCGGCAATATCTTTTACACTTGAAGGTTTTACAGCCAACAATGGCTTATTTCTGTTATCGGATGAAGCATTATTTTTTGCCTGAAAGAGATCCTGATAAATTTCAAGATAAAATTTCGAAATATTTAAGCTAGAGAGTTTCACAAAGCATAAATTGCCCATAAGCTTAATATGAGAACGCATCATGAATGCAGAAATGTAATACACTGAGTAGTTTTGAAGTGGGATTGAATTTTTTAGTCATTTTTTAACATTTTTTAAAAGAATAGAAAATACCAATACGTGGTTATGATGAGGTGGTAATGGCGGTGCTTGTACAGGCCTAAAAGTTTCTGTTTCTGTCCTTTTCACCGCATTCGTTTCCGGTGGAATACAATACATTGGTGAAGTCTGCTTAGTTAGATTCATACTGAGTTCCTCGCCTTTTTCTGCATAAAGCGCTTGTAAAGCTTCACTTCGTGGTCGTTGTGGTACCTATAACAAATATCTTATAGATCATGAACATTACTACCACTGAAACCCAACATTGAGTGATAAAATCTCTAGTACAATCTTGGCAAATTACCTTAACAAACAGATTACCCATGTCAGTCCAAAATCAGTACAAGTAAATTTATTCATAACGCTACAAAGAC